CTTATCAAACTTTGATAAATGAAGTACATTTCTTATAATTCCCAGATAATTTCAGTGTCGTGGCAGCCCCTTAATTGCGTCATAGAGATTGCTTAATCGTCTGAAACTGACATTTATGTGCTGTTTACAAGTCACCATAACATCGCGTGTTCTATAAACTTCGCAATAAAAACAATTGATTACCGATCACATTTTGCTCCCTCTTTTCAGTTTTTCTCCACAACTCATGGGTTTGACTTACTTTTTTTTCTTCTGTGGAACATTTTTTATTCTATCAGTTTAATTAAAATTGTGCGCGGTGTTCCAAATAAGATTTCCAAGCTGTTAAATATGAATGTGTAATGGTGCCAGGAAGCAATAAAGTGAGGTTATTGTTGTTTGAAAGGCTTCGAGTACTGATACAGTACACCTACCGTAATCTTGAAAAATAATTGTGAGGATTTCTTGAATGAATTGGCTGCAGAATTTATACAATTGAAATCATACGAAATCAGTGTTCGACAATTCCCGACGTTATATCCCACTTGTGCGGCGTTTTCTTAATACTCAGTGGGCGGGATCGTCCCAGGATCTGCAGCCAATCCCGACTTTTCTTGCTTTCTGCATAATTTTTTGCCTTGAGCGAGGTAGGGGATAGGAAGAGGCGCTATTCTGTAGCTGCAATCGTGGGACCCAGGACTTTGGCCAAGCACTGTCTTTAGAGCACTTCATGAATAGCACATTTGGGGGGGGGGGGGGAGTGGGAGGCATAGGACAATTAAAGAAGTGCTATGTCTTCGTTTTCTTCAAGATTTATGCTAACGCATTATATACCTCTTCAAATGCTTTTGAAAATTCTCTGCCTTTTTCAGAAGCAATAATGGTATTAAAATTGTCTGCCTGGAAGTCTGAGTAGTTATATAATCTTTTAAGAACATAGAATGGCCGGGAGAAAGAAGTTATCAGCACAAGTAGCGCTACTTTTTACAGGTGACTTTTGCATTTCCTGCATAACTATCATTTTTGGTAATGATGAAACCATTAATGAGGGTTGCGGCCGGTGACTAACTCGTTTTTTGGATGCCAACGCCTCTATATAAGGTAGCTTTTCACTTTTCTCGAACAAGGTAATTCGAATCGACTTTTTTCTGAAACAGGTGTTTTATTATGTTTTCCACGGCTTACTTTGGGTTTTGGTTCAGCTCACACTTATCATTCTTTTTATTTTTTTTTTTGGATTTGCCTCCCTGTCAGTTGGCGGTCCCAGAAGTCTTCTAAGGAGGAGGGAGGGGGGGGGGACAAAATTCTTTCGAATGTTGGGGTGTGGTTTTCACGCCTTTTTGAAAGTTTGTGGGGTGCTTTCCAAAATTTTTGCTGGTCTTTAATTCCGCAATTTTCAAAAAAGAGGGCGCGGCAGCGGCCAAGTCCCCCCCCCCCTCCCTCCGAAAAAAGTTCTACTCAGCCAACTTGAGCTATCAAAATTTTTTGAAAATATTTCAGGTATCGCCAGGTGTAAGCAAGGGAGGCTCGTACCCCGCCCCTCCCCCATCCCCCTTCCCCCACAGAGGTCAAGAAACTTTCGATAGTTTTGGGTATCTCATTGGTCATACTCTATGCACTATCTAAGTCCAATTTGCACATCGTTTTGCTTGAATTTTTGAATTTTTCATATTTTTCATTCGTTGTCTGGCTTACAAGAGTTTTGTCGCATTTTTCAAAAATCAGAGCCTCTTCATTCGTATTCTCAAGCATTTCTTGAAACGGAAAGGACCTCGTGATTCTTCTTTCTTTGCTTTTCTCTTTGCTGTTTTATAACTCGAGACTCTTTCTATACATTTCTCCCAAGAGAGCGATGTTGACAATGTTTTTTTGTTTTCCTACTGCAGCTTCTGACTCTCTCCAGCACTTTCGCTAAGCGGATACACAACTTCTATGCATGTTGCTTTGCTCTAAGAGGCTTTGCCTGAGATCGACGAGATCTCCATACGAACGGGACGTTTCCCAGTGTTTGCACTGTTCTCAACGTGGGTTTCATCGTTTGAGGGATAAGTATGCTGCTGCTGTTGAACGCTCTGGTTCCACCTAAACCCTCATCGTCTAGCGCATAAATTTTCGTTATTAGCTTAGTATCAGTCACTCAAACGTCGACCGGAACACTTCAGGTCCCGGTGGCCCCGTCGACGAGAGCGATAAATTCGAGATCATTGCGAGCTGGTCTTGGTTTGTTCAGAAAGTGATCTTAGTGCTTCTGGTGCTCCTGTCTAATTTCCTTTTCCCCTCTTGCTATTATCTCCCCTAAAATTGGCCGCAGTCTCTTGGACGAGTTGAATTTTCGTCATAAGTATGAAAGTTTGCAAACACCGTAACACCAATTTGCTTCATATAGGCACAACTTTATGGTATTTTCCTCGAGAATTATAATTATAGCTGCATGTACAGGCTCTAGTGGGCGGGGTTAAATCCAAAAAGAGGCGTGCCATTTCGACCAGCAAGGATGTACAGTAGTGTTGTAGTTATAATTTTATCATTCGTCTTCCTATTTATTATCTCTATCATAACAATCCACAGAAATTGCTTTATTATTGTACTAGGGGCGAGTTTGTAAACAAAAGGAGGCTTGACAGAACTTGTTTAAAAGGCAAAATTGTTTTGTACTGATACTTTAACATATCATCATTTCTCGTTTGTTGTACTAGTCCGAAGAATTTCTGTATGCCGTGGGGCTTGATGGGTGGGGTCACAGTCAAAAGAGGGCGTTTTAGACATAAAGCCAGCAAGCATTCACAGTAATCTAGCTGTAGCATGCTACCATCTTCCTATCCTTTCTAGTTTACCTCACCCTCCCCCTCCCCCTAAAAAAATGTTCATATGTTGCTGAATGTCCAGTGGGCGGGGCTGAGGTCAAAAAGGGGCCTGGAGCGCTGAGTCAGCAGGTGTTTACTGTAGTCTTGTACTGATACCCTGTCATATCACTATTTTTCCGTTTGTTCTATCTTTCCATAGAAGTTCTTTGCATCTATCTGTTAGTATGAAAGGACTGCAAAATATTTATTTGCATACCTTTGCAACTTAGCCTTGCTTCTTTTTCTCGCATTCTCTTTCTCAAAGGGCAAGTTTATTTCTCCGATTGATATTACAGCACCACTATAGTCCAAGCACCATGAATTTGATTGGCATGACGGTAAAAGATCACTCTCTCTTTTGGCGGCGACTTTCTTTGTTCCCATGTTTACTAACGCATTAGCACCACAACCATAACTCTCTTTTACTCCACTACATAATCGTGTTTTCTTCGACAGTCGACTCGTGATGGTCGTTCAGTTTACTGTGGTTTTTCGTTCCACCCTATCACTTTTTCTGTGGTTTGTCTTCATACAGTCATCATCTTGGCTTAGTCTTTTGTCACTTGTCTAGAAGTGCGATCTTACGGTTTAAGGCTTTGTCTTCGATCAAAAAATGCTCTTCTCATATTTTGGAAGAGATTTTTAGATTAAAATGTTATGTGGGCCATGAAGTCCGCTTGTTTTTATGATATTATCATCTGAAACTGTCATAATGTTTGATAACGACTAGTGTGGCCCCTCAGTCTTATCAACTTCTTGACCTTAGTCTGGACCATTGCTTTCGTACCAACATGTTGTGCAGTTCATATCGAGAACCTGGGTAAGATACCATTATAATGGTATTTTTATCCGGTTCATGTAGAATTTCCTCCGTAGGAAAAGAGGTATCCTCACAGATAATTATGCGCAACTTCTTCGTATACTTTGTGGAAGTTCCCTTCAGCATTATGTTATGCTGGAAGTTGTTTTCATTTTTTTTGTATTTTTATCTTTTTGCTTTTCTCCATCATCCCTCATTACCGTTGACCATATTTCCATTCTATATTATTTCACTTCTAATTTTTGGTGGCAGGTTTATAGCGTATCAATCATTGGCCTTTATGTAAGCAATGGCATTGTTAATCATATGTGTCTTGATATAATAAAATTGCATTTGTTTGAAGCATAAATTGTCTTTAAAGCTTGCTTGCTCAATCTCCTCTACCGTAATGCTTTGGTGCTTTTGGTTTTGGTATAGTTTTCAAAATCTCAAGATGACTCATGATAATTTTCCCAGAAAAACGGAGTTATCGTAAAAGTTACAGTCAAGGTGAATCACACAGATTGTAAAGTTGACGATAGATAAACAGATTTTCTCTATTTATTCTGGTCCCAATCGAAGTTTTGTGCCAGATAAGACTTGGAAAAATTTGCGATTTATTGTTATGTCTGAGGACTTTTTTCGGATAAATCTTTGATATCAATGGTTGAATTCATCTTTTGTTACATCTTGATTTCCTGTTGCTCAATACTATTTTTGCATCCTTCTTGTTTGATCCTTCGCTAAGGCATTGATATGATATAAGGAGAAGGAGTGGGCGGGGGTGGGGGGGGGGGGGGGGAGGGCGTTATGAATATACACTACTGAGATTAAAGGGGAAGGCAAGTAGAACTTGAAGCTAGTCTGTCTTCAAGGCATAGCATACTACTCTTGAATAGAGGCAAAAAGACAGAAAATCGTGAGAGCGGAAGGGGGGGGGGGACGAAGCTCTACCGAAAGTAATTTATCTACTGCACACTTCTTGTATTGCTAGTTTGTTCTTCTCCGTTTACAGCAAACCAAAAACCAGCAGCAAAATAGGCAAGTTCCGCCCTGCCCGCCCACTTCTAGTCCTTCCACCAAACTTTCGTGATCCATATCTGAATGTTTTCTGCAATTGTTCTCTCCACTATTGTGATATAATGCAATTTTTAAACTCTATTTATTTTTCACTTTTGTCTCACACCTTTCTCTAACTTTCTCATCACCTGGCATCTTTGAACTACTTTACCTATAGCTTAAGTTGTATCATCTATTCCAAAACCTGTTCCAACCTTGCAGACAATGATGAGCTGAGTCATAATGACTTATATCCAGCATATCCTCATATTTTTCTAATGACGTCCAGTTCCTCGCGCAATCGACACGATTTTTTCTCAACGGAAGATATTTCAGAACAAATTGTACATACATATAGCACACTCGCACCTGACATGACTTTGTTGACGTTGCGAGAGTGACGACGTCCACCATTCTGCTGCGGATGCCGACGAGCTGCGAGCGAAAAGCTCGCGAACAGCTCGATTTGAATCATTTCCCTAATGAACTTCTGCTTAGGGTGAGTTTACTCCCATAGGGTTCCCAATATTGAATTTTCAGAAATTTTCCTGCGGGACCTGATCATTTCTTATGATGTAAACAAGCCTGTTCTACTAAATAAAGAACTTACCGTAAACCTGCTCTTGTTAGGCATTAAGTGCTAAAGAACTTTCTGTTGACTACTTCATGAGAGACAAAGAGCTTTGTTCACACTTCGAAACATCGGTTAGAGCAAGCTGAAGAATCAAGGGGAGGGGGTTGAGATAGGGGTTGAACTGCATACCAAAGTATTTTTCGACGTGTCATTCATTTACCACAAAAATTTCAGATAATCCAATTTCTACCGCCAAGAGATGTGGCGCTTGTCGCAGCTCAAGTATCAACACGGTGGCGATCTCTTATCAAGCATAATCTTGCCAGGGTACCAAGGTATGTTGAATTTTGTTTTTTGTGACTATATCTGAGTAGGCAGACTTCAACTTGATTATGATGTATAATCGGAATTAGCTGAATAAGAGCTATATGTTTTAGCTCCGCCCTTTGACACACCCATACATACAGTTTATGTTTCCATGAAAATGTGGTTACATAGGTTTCCTATATGGTTCTTGATTAGGTGACCTTGACTAAATATAAGCCATTGCAGAAGCTGCAGTTCATAGAGACATTCGGGAAATTTAACTTTCTCAACTACTGACTCAGGCCGTATCTCCAGCCGTATCGAGTGCACTGATTGGTCCGTTTGGAAAGAGTACGGTCTGGGCTGTAGGGAGATGATTTTTCGATTGCGAATTTTTGATTGCGAAAACTGCGAAATTTTCTACGATTCCACGGTAATAATCTAGCCTTTTGAGCTTCCCTCAGTCCAGATACCCAGATTTGCCCGGAGTCTTCGAAAGTCACCCATTTTCCCATTAATTTACCTATAAAAATTATTTTTTCTAGGATCCCAGCACATTGTCATGTATATGTAATGGATATCGATTTACAACCAGAAGACGATCGGACAGATGGTCGAAGTCCAATCATGCAGTACCATTTCACTACCTTCAATACCTCACAAACAGGTTGGTGAATGAAAATTAGAAATATCTCATTCACACTTCAGTCAACGTGTAAATGTGGTTAGAAATGAAGTATTTCAAATACGAAGAATGTCATTCAAAATCATACATTGGAACAGAACAAAACATCTCAGAAAACGCAAATAATTCATAGAATCTCGCTGGTCATTCTATCCTTCCGCAATTACAGACTACCGTGCCAAACGTCGTGCGTGCCTCCGTGGCAACGACACTACGCTCCGAGCAATTTACGTGCAACACAAGCGATGCGGTATGATGGCTGAATGGGATTCGCATAATGGCGTTCAAAAACTGGATGCTTCAACTGCAACATCGGTATGTGCGCGGACAACTGGTACAAGAATCCCGTGGCAAAAATGTCGCTTTTTAGTTGATGTCATTTTTGGACATAGTGGCTTTACGAGTTGATGTTTTGAAAAGAGGACGTCGATTAATGGCACGAAGAGTTGATGAGCGATTTGCTCATGCTGTGGCGTTTTGTGAGGAAATGTGTGGTACCCTGGATCCCAGGTTAGTTGTCAAAAAATTGGCTTCCTAAAAAATGCCAATTAAGTTGTTCTTCTTTCAGATCCCTCCTCTTATGCTCCCAAAACCCATATTTCTCATGGTGTCTTGGTGAAGAATCGCTTCGACGGTTATCAATGTTCCGAAACTTGGATTCGTTGGTTCTGGAAAATATGACTGGTGCCGAAGTGTTTGGGGGAATCAAGGCATCCTTGTGTCTCGACAACCTAAAAGAAATTCGAATGCGATTGGATGCTAAACATCAGAACGAAGTCGAGAACATTCTATGGGTGGATGTACAAGGTCAGTAAAAATCTTTTCTTCCCTCCTCCCTCCCCCATTCTCCTCCCTTATTCTCGAGCTCATAATTATTGGTTCGATGTTTTTCGCGTTACATTCAGGGTTGTCCGTGTTAGTACCGTGCTAGCGCCGTGCCAAGACGTCGATCGATCAATATCGATCTCGTATACGAGGGCGCTGTCACACTAGCACGGCTGCAGCACACGGCGACTCTAGACGGGGTTTTGGGAATCTTACCATGGCAAATTTGTACAATTAATTTCCTACTCTTAATAATTCCTTTCAGGATCCCTACTTTCCTCATTGGCCCAAGCACATGTCCGCTGTTTGGATTTCTCGGCTTTTTCCGAATCCCCTGCTGCTATCACAGCCATCACGGCGGAAGACATGTGCCAGTTCATTGTTGTTAGTTTTATTCCTTGTTTTGAAAATACACAATATTTGGACGAGTTTTACGCTTTCTTTTACAGTTATGGCGAACTCTGAAGTGCCCATGGATGATCCGATCAATAATGTTCAATTCTACCGTAACCATCAGCGAATTTCGTACGGTAGCCGGAAAAGTTGGATTATTTGCTTCAGCGCTAACTGATATACCCTATTGTCGCTTCCGCACCTATCATCCATCTGATCCCAATGCAAAGTTGGAACTGTCCTGTTACGGTACTGGGGTGAGTTGCTTGAGATTACGGTAGCCATGATTAAGCACAACTGACCAATTACAGATCGCCACGCAATGGTGCATTCGTTCGGGCTATTTGACATCGTAATGTGGTGATCTCATGTGTAATAGCTTCACACACCATCTAGAGTTTAGCGCTAGTTTTGACGGCTAGGAATAGTTACTGTCTAGTTTTCTCGTGTTGTCGTTCGCATATTCCATAGTACTTTCGCTGTACCGGCATTTTATCCCATTTTGTAGTGATTTGTGCTTTTTGCAACCCTGATCTTTGATTCAGATTCGAGAGATTCTAATCGAGTTTTTCCGTTCTATTTTGTTTCGCATTTTCTTGTGTTATTCAGTTGCTAAGGGTATCGTTGTATAAAGATGAGAACTGTACTGTTGTGTACTTAAATGATTAGTCCAATATCTTAAAGGCAGCGTCCAGGCAAGTCTGGACACATGGGGATCTCACGTGGTTAGTAATTTTGGGGCCCTAACTAAGCCACTGCCCAACCGGCAGCTCAGGTAGTGCTCTAACGGCTGAGATATTCCCCTCGAAACTGGCCCCCGCGATCGTATTTCGCATGGATTCATGGCGCAAAGCGTGGATTCTGGCGCGAAACTGCCACGAATCCATGCGAATACGATTGCGGGGTCCAGTTTCGAGGGGAATATCTCAGCCGTTAGAACATAACCTGCGCTGCCGCTTGGGCAGTGCCTTAGTCAGGGCTCCAAAAGTCCTTTCACGTAAAATTCCCATAGGTCCAGATCTGCCTGGACGCTGCCTTTAACAGGCACTTCCCTATTGGTTGTTACATATTTTATTCTGATTGAGAAAATTGATTTTTCTTTAGCTGAGGAGCAAAAATTGTGAATTTATGGTTGCAATTCTGGATGTATGAGCTCAACGACATATCTGGGAGTAACACAGGATTGGTACTGGCGGAGTCTGCCATTTTACGCCCATAGTTTTTTATTTATAGCCAGAAAATATACGTAGATTTGGGGCAAAGACTGAAATGAAAGTCTTTATATTGTCGTGAAACTTAAGTGAACCACAATTCATATAATATCATCTTCCATATCTTCATATATTTCGTTATCAGGGATAATATACCAAAAATTAAAAAACCGCGGTTTTTGTCCGATAAAATCATGATGCAGCTTTGATAATAATGATCTTATATACAGGGTGTCCGTAAAGTATGTATACACTGTCTGATCGTTAATATCTTTCTTCCCAACAAGTCTTTTCCCTTACTTTAGGTGCCGTTTTGTAGAGCTGGATTCAACTTAGATTTACAGTATGGAGCGAATCATCCGTCGCTTTTCATTATTGTAGGATTACAGTACGAACTTCCAGCATATGGAACCAATGTGAAATATACCACCTAACAAAATTTTCTCTAAAAAATCTGAAAAATCGTGCACTGGGGTTTTCGCGCATGCTGATTCCACCTAACAATTTTTTACAAGTGTTTTCGGCTTTTTTGACGGTGTAATTACATTTCTGACAAATGCTGGGAATTGAGTTACTACGATTTACCGAGGATAACTTAGGAAAGAAGCATCACAGTAAAATGGGAATTTCATATTCGAAATCAGCGGCTCCCATTACCGTAGTACAAGAGTTTCTGGCTTGTTTGGTCTTGTTCCGAGGCAGAATATAGCCTCCAATGGCCTAAAATCTTTGTCGGAGTTCGCACCTAATCCCACAGTAATGAAAAGCGATAGATGATTCGCTCCATACTGTAAATCTAAGTTGAAGCCAGCTCTACAAAACGGTACCTAAAGCAAGGCAAAAGACTTGTTGGGAAGAAAGATATTCACGATCAAACAGTGTATACATACTTTACGGACACCCTGTATAATGATAATGAACTTATGATCTCGTTTCAAAGTCCCGGTCAACCAAAGAACAAAGGACTAGGAGGAGCTTTCAGAATCTGAGGAACAAATGCAAGCCTTGAAGTGTTAACAGTGGATTCGGAGTTCTTCCCTAATTTTGTTTCATGTCAATCCCCCCCCCCCCCCTCCCCCACCCCTTCACAGGGGAAATCTTCACAAAATTTCTGACAAAGGCCGTTTTATTAATGCAAGATCAAAGCAAATAAACTATCGTGTCAAAATTCGCGTTGAAGGCAAGTCTTTAGAAGAATTTGCTCTTTAAAGGGAAAGTCCACCCACAATCTTTAAACCCAATTACTACTTATCTTACTAGCAGGCCCTAAAAGTAGAAAACTGCGTTGGTCCGGTCTCCTAATGTCGCCTACAAAAGGAAACATTGGCATAGATCTCTGCGCTCCGCCCCCTTTTATCGCGGATTGTCACGTGACGTGTTCTGATATGAAAAGAGATGTCGATACGCATAGTTTGTGATGTGGCACTGTTGCACACGACGAGGTTTCCTCTTGCATACAATCAGGGCCCAGCAGAGGTGGCGCTTTCACAGGCTGTATATCGTTCTTCTCAGAGAAGAGCAAAAGGAAACTCGTAATGTTCTCAGGAATGGCTCCAAAAATCTGATACAATATTAGCAAGCACAGAGCTAAGCCCTTGTAAGAGCTTCTTTCAACTCCGACGTCGTCTCACCAGTAACGGATAGATTAACACATTACAAACACGACAAGCGCTTAGACCTGTTTGCACAAGATTTCAACGTGTTAAAACACAATCTTTATGCACAAATAAATAAATAATCAGTCCGTTTACAACTGGTAAGCAATATTCCATCAAATTTGGTGTGTACCTCCGCGACGACGCTCAAAAGGAAAGAATGAAAATTATGAAAAAGTTGTGTAAATGAAAGGAGCTGTAAGTGTTTTTTTATTTAGGTTGCTCGCGCAACCTGGGAGCACCCTATGGTTGCGCGGAACTAAACAAAGACACAATTTTCTCCCTTCTTCACATAACTTTTCAAAATTTTTTCACATAATTCTATTCTTCAGTTCGAACTCTAATACGAACACTTACTTTATCCCAAATTTCCTCTCTTCTGCTTCGCTACGGCCCTTGAATGATATAAAACAACCTTTTTTTCACATGTTGCTGTTTTATCTCTGATTTTCCTTGCATATTCTTAACTTCCATGTACTGATCTCGCTGTAGATTATTAGCGGTGTTTCTACAAATACCACAAAAGGTTTTTTGTAATATTCTGCAATGCCAAAGGGGAATTCGTCTTCGAAATTCTCGAATGCCATCTCTTGCTGGACCCTGCATACAATGTGACTTGCGTCGGGGCACTCGTCCACGTCTGCCAAAATAGGGCTTCAGAAAGGGGCAATTTCGGAGCTTTCTGGTAATTTGACCCTCATATCCGAAATCAGCGCCATGGAAAGGCCCATAACACTAACAACATGGAAGAAGAAATTTTGGGTAGACGCTCCCTTTAAGTTCATCTTTAGTGGTTCATAAGTTCGACAATTTGTTTTGTCTTATTGTGCAACGAGATGGCCTTGGAGCTATCTTTCAGAATAAAGATTTTTTGGAGCTGTTAAGAGAACTTAAGACCCTTATTATTTATCGAAGACAATTATTGCAAGCAATGCCGATAGCAAATATTTGCATGTTTCAATTCATTCAACCCTCCTTTGATGGTAATGTTTTCTGCGTTGACATCGTTCTTGTACTCATCTTTCCTGCAAATTATAAAATTTGCAATGAAAAAGTCCCAGGCTAGTCGGAATCTACCATACCTTTGAGAATGGAAGCAAGTACCGGCATAGGTTTAGCAATCAAAGACGCAGCTGTTCTTTTCTTTCTTGCATTTATGTCTTCTTTCTGGCTTTTCTTCTTCAGATTCACACCTTTTGCAATTGAAGTGGTTTGTGCCGCTTGTGCAGTAGGTGCTGATTGTTTCTTTTGTGTTACAGCGGCTTGTGGCTTGTCTTTGCCGAAAAACTCTTCTAGTTTTTTAAAATCCTCATTCAATATCTTTTTTGACTTTTCCTTAATTCAACTAAATTAACCAGCGCGGAAACGTTCACAGTTTAAAGCTTACAAATAAATCAAAATCGGTCATGATGGATTCCGGAATAGCCGCTGGCTGCTCTTCTTCTGTACTAATGTTCCCTTTCGCATCTTTCTTGAGGAAAGAATAGTTCGCTGCTTCCTGAAACTCTCCAAATCTAAGGTAAATTACATGGGAAGTTCGCTTAGTTTAAGTGGCTTTTCTATTTGACTCCAATACTGCCTTGAAGAGCAATGAAAGATGGATCCAAATTTTTTCATTATCTGCCAAAGCAGGGGACGAGTGGCGTAGTGGTATGAGGCTATGATCATATCGGACACAGGTTCGACTCCTCCGTCGGCCAACCAAGCCCTCTATCCTCCGAGGCTGGTAAGTTGATACCAGAGTAATCTGGGAGGATAAAAGCACTGATTGGTAAACGGCTGGTCCCCGCAATTCATTGTAAGGGCTCACATGATACAGTGGCCTCTTCGACTATGAAGTAGTGTGCGTTCGGTGTATGCCCGCAGAGGGTATTGAAGACGCCGAATCCTTTATCCTTTCTACTTTATCTGCTGAACGCTTTTAGATGCCGAATTATTAGCGTTTCCGGGTTTGAAAAACAAATGTATAATTAGAATAAAGTAAAGGATTGCCCAAATGAAGCAGTGTTGTCGGTACACTTTATTCAACGGGTAACTTCTAATGTACTTATATTAGAAAATGCTCTACTTTGCGCTTAAAAGACCTAAAGATTGATTTTAGATTCTGAGTTCTTTTCTTGCTCCAAAAACGCTTATAATTCGGCGTTCAAAGGCGCTTGCCCAATAATGAAAACGGATTTGGAAACAACGTTCAGTGCTCTTCAAAACATATAGTAGATTGTTCAAATTAACTTGACGAGAAGACTAACTACGCGACTGAGCGAAACGAGAGCATGGAAAACCTTGGCAATGAGGACAATAACGCGACAGCTATCCCTGTTTAGATGTATGCTTTAAGAGATGGACCAAAAGTTGTCAAACTTGTCTTCTTTACAACTCTCTCCTATGGCCGCCTTTCTTTCCTTACGGTCAAGTGCAGGTCACGGTGAGATTTTCTCATCCAACGCAGTTTTGTGTTTCGCGATATTCCTGGGGAGAATCACAGCCGGTTACTCATGATTGGGGGTCCCCAGGTGGTGAATGGGAGTATCGCCAACCAAAAGCGACCCCATGCTTGCTCTCATGAGCAAGCGAAGCCGAGGGATGACTCCCTGCCTCCACTGAAAGCGATCCTAACTTCCCGGGTAGGTGTGTGTATGGGTGGATTTGGAGTCGCCTCCGACAATTGGGCTGCTCTCCCTCGCGGGATTTTTGAGCTCAACAGGTGGGATCCCTGGGATTAAACACTTGACGCAGTAAAAATACGGAAAGCTCCTTTAAACATAAAAGAGTCAGTGTTAAAGCAACCCCAGTGGAGACAAGGTTTGTAAGGCGATCTAGGCTGCCGAAAACAAGACGGACAATGATGACGATCTGTGCTGACAACGCAATGACGCTGACATTGTACGCATTTATCGAAGACCTCATGACTCAAGCAAGGAAGATCAGGTGCGATGTCATCGGACTAACCGGGACAAGAAGAACCACTCCCTGGACGCCGCATCTGAGGCTGAAGAAGAACTGTTATTGGGAACAGCACAGTAGAGGAGCAAGCAATGTAGGACTAGTCAACGCGAGTTCGGCCATGAACATCGATTCTTTCAAATAGCTTACAACCCTAGTCGAACATTTACGAATATCAAAATGTGAAAATCCCGGTTTTGACCGTCTCCATTGCGTAAGAGTCAATCAACCGAGATACGACAAGGATGAGCTTGAGGCATTTTACATGGACGTGGATAGGTTCTACAGAAAGAATCACACTTCCTACCAGATCATCGTCGGTGATTTCAATTCAAAGGTTGGATTTAGAAGATTGCCTGCGGACTTCACATAGGAACTCGTAGACTGCAGTGGAACGAACAGACGGACCGTCAAGTTTATCATGACTAGGAAAGCCATCCATGGCAACTATACTTTGGACCGAATCGAATGATTATTCGATTGTTCGAATAAATCATTCGAATGCGAATGATTCGAGAATTCGAATATTCGAAAATCTGAGATTTCGAATAATAGTCGAATATTCGAAGATTTTCATATTCGAATATTATTCGAAAGTCGAATATTCGAAATTATCAACTTTCGAATATTATTCGATAGTCGAATATTCGATGATCATTAATTCGATCATTCGATGTCCATGGAATATTCGAATATTCGATGAGCGCCGAATATTCGAAAATTCGATAAGAATTGACTATTCGAGAATTCGAAGCATCGAATGTTCGGAAATTCGATATCTACAACATATACGGCGTGTCCCAAGATATCTACAAACTGTTAATCGCTAATACCTCTCAGGAAGTCTTTTGCCAACCTTCAAGTAACATTCTGTAGGGATGGCTTGACCTTACAAATACAGCAGAAAGCAAATCACCTATGTTCTTCTTGTTGTGTTTTCACGGCATGAACTTCCAGCATATAGCGCGACTACGAAATGAGACGGCCAAAAAACTCCCCCAACAAAAAAAAAGAGGTTTGAAATTTATGTAGCAGGTTTTTACGTATGTTTAACTACGCACGAGCTTTAAAACTTTTTAAATGTGCATTCTCGTTTTTGAAAAGCGTTGGAAAACATCTGTTACGGTATACCTGGCATAAGTTGCAAACGACGTTACGGTTGAGTGCAAATTCTTTATATAGTGAATGTCTTTAGAAGCCTAGTGTGAGATCGGCCTTTCTATCTCTCATTCTTGAGCAAACGGCTCTTGATATCTCAAAGCCCTCCTCGGTTTTCCTACGGCAATTTACAACAGTGAAAAGCGATCGATAAATCGCTTCATACTGTAAGTATAGGTTGATGTCAGCCCACAGATCCACATACTGCTGGGACCCCTGTATGTCAGTCCACAACTCTCAGTGAGGATATAATCTTCTTTAAAGTTTGAAATTCCTTTACGAGCGTCACAGGAGTACGCTTTTAGGTTCTTAATTTGTGGCGATGTTAAATTAGACCCCCTACCTAAGCGGTGACTGAAGTTCGGAGCGAAAAAGAAAGTCTGGTACGCTTGGAAATTGCTCACAAAGTGACCCGTTTTACGGTAGGCCCGAATGCCGCCCGTACAGCGGATTCGAACTGCAAGGCCAGAGAACGCATAGCGCACACAGTCAGTGCAGGGTCCCGCAACGACTCTGCGTCTCTACCTTGCATGCATCTCGTACTCACGAGCCTACCGCAAAATCCGGGCCACTTTCGGGGCAAATTTCAGGCCTGGTAGCCCCCTTTTTCGCTCCGAACATCAGTCATGGCTTATGTAGGAGGACTACTTTAACATCGCCACAAAACCCGGCACCCATCTTTTTGCCGGGCTGCCTAAGTCTTTTCACTTCATCACTGAACCGTTTTTTCGTCGTAAATTGAAACATAAAAAATGTCTACTCCTGATACTTACCTGAAAGAATTTATCCTTAGATGTTTCGGTCCCTCAAGGTAGTCTCAATGACATATTTTATTCGGATATCGAAAATCGAATGATATTCGAAAATCGAATATCACTCGAGAACCGAATAATATTCGAAATTCGAATACCGAATGATATTCGATATTCGAATATTATTCGATTCGAAAACTTTCATTTTCGAATAATATTCGATAGTCGAATATTCGAAATTTTTGGTTTTCGAATAAAATTCGATAGTCGAATACTCGAAGTTTTCAATTTTCGAATAATATTCGATAGTCGAATATTCGAAAATTTCGATTTTTGTATATTATTCGATATTCGAATATTCGAGAAAAATTTCGAATTTCCCAAAGTATAATGGCAACTCACAATTCTAAAAACCTCTTTCCGACGTTGGACTGGAAATCGCCTGGTGGAGATACTCTAACGAGAGTGACCACATCATCTCAACAAGCGTATTGCCTGACTGACGTCACTGTTGTTCCGAAATTTTACGGGATCAGACATCGCTTCATATGTACCAAGTTTTTGTTTTTACGGAATGGGGAGAGAGTCAACTAAGTGTTCAAAAAGTACGAAAAAATCTCTTGACGGAGGCTCTGATGCTTATACGCCATGGACCAGCATGAGCCGCAGGCAACTAGCAACTACCGATTGACGTTCGAGCCTGCGAAGCGATGCGGAGAAGCGATAAAAGAAGACCTCAGGAGGACAAGAAAAACATTGGTGGACGCCGCGGAGGCTGGGAGGAGCATGTGCAAACTCCGAAACTTCGTCAACTTCAAGACCAAAATGACCGCGCTTCGTCGTACTGACGGAACCGTAACTGCTTCAAATCAATGGGGAAGGTCACCCATGACTTTGCTCAGATCTTTTTGACATCCACGTCCACCTGTCTCCAAATCACCCCAAAGACGACGAGTATGTCGCTCTGTTTTTCCTTCCGAAATTCGTCATGCCATCATGTCGATGAAGAATCGTACAGCGCCCGGTCTCAACCGATCAAGCCAGAACATCTGAAGAATCTTTCACCAGTGCTCATCAAGACTTTGGCAAGGCTTTTCACGCGGAACCTGACGGAAGCAAGGTTCCAAGCCAAAGGAAAATCAGCAAACCGTGCTGCTGTACAAGAAGGGAGATATCTGCGACATCGGTAACTATTGCCCTATCTGCCTGTAATCTACAAACTACGCGAGTTATTCTCAACATCGGCAAAGACTTAGACTAAGGACAACCGTGCAGGCAAGGTGGGTTTCGTAGAGGATTCAGTACGATAGACCACATACACAAGTAGTCAAGCCTCATCGAAGTTGTCACGAGAGTATATGTCACTCTGTCTCATCATCATCAATTTTAAGGCTAAAGGCTCTTGACTCAATTAAAAACTGAGCGTTATCAATGCCCTGAGCAATTCAGTATTCTGAGTAGGGATTTCAGTATATTGCTGCACTGAGTATCCCTCCTCAGTACATAAAGATAATTTGGGAGCTGTACAATGACTTCACACCATTCCACTGAAACATCATCTCGACGTGAAGAAAGGCGTACGATAAGGCGATACTATATCGCCAAAGCCATTCAGTGCCGCTCTAGAGAACATCACGGGTACGTTGAAATGTGACGGTATGGGAGTGAAAGTCGACTATTTTAACTACACCACCTTTGCTTTAATGATGACATCGTACCAATAACGCGCAAGCGGAACGAATGCTGTCCCAGCTTAACGACGTGGATGGAAAGATCGGCCTATCTCTGGACCTGACATAGACGATGTTTATGAGGAACGGAGGAGTACTTGATGCTTCCATGCTCAACGGAACGAACGTCACCGAATGCTCAAGCTAAACCTACCTAGATTGGGAAATCAACATGATAAATGACCAGCTCCGGAGCTGAGCAAGAGGAAAGAGCAGAATGGGGAGCATATAAGATAATTGCTGAGGTATTGAAGAAAACTAAGTTCCGGCTCCGAGTCCACTTCTTGTTCTTGCTCTGAGTCCACTTCTCTTCAGATTCTTCCTGTTTTGACGAACGCTTCAGAAACATGGACATTGAGGAAGCACGATGAACATGCGGTGAACGTCATCGAACGTGCTGTAGAGAGAGTGATGCTGGAGTGAACTGGCTCACGCAAGTGAGGGAAGGAATACGCAGTTCTACCTTATTCCACATCGAACATCAGGGACGGCCGCATACGGCAAACAGAAACTTTTTGAGCGTTTCTGGTGCGATACGTAGACTTTGGACAACAACCGACCGAGACAGGGACGAATGGAGACATCACTGGTACGAGCTCGTGCAACACGATCATCAACCAAGATACAGGTGATACAGTTTTGTGTCGAGTATAAGAACCTCAGTTAACGGCCCATAGAAAGTTGTGATTTATATGTCAGATTTTCATATTCGGTCATTCATCGGGCTGCCACACTGGATTGTCTTCTATCCATGGCATGGGATTTGACAGCAGCGTAACAGGAAATAAAGGATTTGGCATGGCATCTACCTTGCAAAGTAGAATTCGTGCTTTTGCGTTATTCGAGTTAATTTGATGTGGAGCTGACTCATGAGTACTACTACTGAGTACTGAGTACTTTGCTCTTTTTGCTTACCCAGTATTGAACAGAATAGTTTTTCACTGAGAAGACACTGTATTAGATTGGAATGACCAGAAGTTGCTGCTAAGTTGCGCTTTAAAGGCAGTGGATCGGCAAAAACAAACATATCGTTGGTATGGAAAGTTGCTTGCATCCCAAACATGAGAACAGAGCAGGTCCGAGCGCACAACATGCAGCCCCTGCCTAGAAGACTGCTCCTAAACCCACAAGCGCCTGCGCGCAGGCCATTCCTACACGCGTTCGGACGAGCTTGCGTTCCCCTTCCCACCGTTAAAGCGACATGTCACAATGCTATAAACATGAGGGTTCCGCAACGACTCTTTGTCTCTGGCCATGGTGGGAGGGTGCCACTCGTCCAAATTCAAAATGAGGGGCCTTGGAAAATGCTGGTTTTCGCCATTTTCGCGTTCTAAGAAGTGGATTTTCGGAATCAGCGGCGCGTCGAGTTACCCGAGGTAAGCGAAAAACTTTCAAGTCGAGAATTTGCCGAGCCACTGCCTTTAATCGCACAAAATTCCCACCTTTCGAACATTTGTAAACCTGCTAACCAGCCTCAACTCCGCTTAAAATGTGAAAACAAAGCTTTTCTAGCCATTTTTACAGCAGATAGCGCATCTGTTAGGGTGATCACTAAAAAATGGGGCAGCTTGATTTTTGACAAATTTTGAGATTTTTTGTTTCGATCAACAACAAGCAGGCTGCAACGTAAACATCGCTTATATAAGCGACTTTCGCCTATTATTCTGGCAAAGCGTCAATGCTCCTCTCCCACAACCCTACGCGTGGTGGCCTGAAGAACTCGAACAGGGTTTTTTGAACCTCGCTCATTCTTGCGCTGCCATACCGCAAAGTTATAGAGCAATTGATATATCATTCGAAAGAGCTGTTCATGCTTTTTCAAAGAGTATATGAAACATACAGAATTTCTTTCTATTTCTGGGTAAAAAAAGCGAAATACCTGAAAAATCGCGATTTTTGGCGCAACAAAAACCAATAAATCAAGTTTCAATCTGTTTTTTTCAAAGATAGACAAAATGTGAGGTAAGCTACATATGAGTGAATAGAGCGCAAAAAGCTCTTTCAGGTATCTATAGAACATGCGTTCACCTGCAAAGCATTGAATAGCACGTATCTTTGTTCTCAAAGCTGCTAATGGCCATATCTCCTGAATTTGAAAGTTGAGACCACCAAGCCGTCGTGGGTCTGGTGACTGTACCTTCACGCATTGCAGCAGTAGTATCTTGGATGGTTTCGCATGTTTCACTGCGCAAATACTGCTCGAAGTTTATAATTTGTCAAAATGACTAACTTTGCATTTCAGCCACTATAAAAACTATTACTTATGTAAAAGACCCTATATAGGTATTTTCTGAAAGAGAATAATCTGTTCTAACATCTATCAAAATTGGGAAGTTTAATCATTTTTCTTTTTTGAGAAATCTACATTTATTCTCTAGGTGCCCCATTTTTTAGTGATCACCCAATAGTAGTTAAGTGGCGATTTCTTCGATATTTATCCTTGTTCATTGGGCGAAGTCCACCCGCAGTGCTTACAACCTACATCCGCTACGAAACAAAAATCTATTACCTTTGGATCGATAGTTCCTATGTCTTTAGCAGTGGGTGGATCTGTCTAGAAGAAGTTTTTTGCACAGGATGCTTATCATCTTCCTAGACACAGACTTACAGTTACAGCCGTTGGATCTTCTTTCAGCTCTCTTTCCACCTCTGTGCCTTTTCCAGCATGCAAATTGATATTGGCATCGAAAGCTAACCGGTTCTTGGCTCTTCTAGATCCCCTTCTTCCAAAGATTTTATGCTTTGGTCCTGCTGTCTCATCAAAAGACTGCTGCGTTGCTTCCAACTTGATATTATAAGCAGCTTGTCCTTTACTAATTTTCTTGAAGCCTTCTAACTTCAATTCGAGTTTAGTCCCAGAAGTCTGAGTGGCAGACTTTGGCTGTTCTTTATTCTTTGACGGTGAAGCTGACGAGGGTGATTTTGTGGTTTTAGGATTGGGTGGAGCTGGCAAGGGTGATTTTATGGTTTTAGGATTAGGTGGAGCTGGCGAGGGTGACTTTGTGGCTTTATTGGGTGGGGCTGGCGAGGGTGATCTTGTGGTTTTGGGATTTGGTGGAGCTGGCGAGGGTGACTTTGTGACTTTATTGGGTGGAGCTGGCGAGGGTGATGGCTTGTTAATAGGTGGATTCGTTAATTTGGTAACTTCATTAATTGTTTTTCCTTTTTCAGTAGTTTTCGATGTCTGAAATGAGCTTTACTGGACATTTGATCCAGTTATGAATGAAATCTTCCAAAATCCAGTGTAAGATTTGTTGACCATACAACGGTAGCAATTAGATTAAAACTAATGGTTATTCAACTTACAGTTTTTGTTTTGATGTTTTCATTGGCCTTTACCATATTTATCTCTAGGGCACAGCTTTCCAAAAATCTGCTCACTCTTCACTATTTGAGTAAATTGCTTTGACTTCTTTGCCCTGGAGATTATCGTGTATATCTGCAAACTTTATAACTATCCTTGAGTCCTTCATTCTTTGTGCTAACCTGTCACAATTTTAGTGATATATACTTCCTTGTTCCAGGTATAATAATTCTCCTGAAAATTTTTCAGTTCTGAAGCATTCAACCTTCACTGACAATTTCGCTTGTATCTGGTGGTAGACTAAGTTTTTCTATCAGTTAAATCTATTTTCTAAACGAAGTCTTCAAGCTACCAAGGACTTGTGACTTGCTACCGCAAATGGACGCGCCGTGTACCATGATAAAGGGCCGGGCATACTTCACGCGATTTGGCAATTCGCCAGAAGTCTTCGGATCCAACACTAGTAAACTGCACATGCATAGTGTGTATAAGTTACGCAAACTGATGAAGTGCCCTATCTTCTGTGCATGTAAAATGTGCTTGCAGTGAGTTATGGACAGTTGGAATATTGCCAAATCGCGTCGCGACTGAAATCGCGTGAAGTATGCCCGGCCCTTGACGCACCTTGTCGTCGTGAGATTCAAGATCTCGCAGAAAATGGTGGCCTACTTCGACGTCAGAGACTGAAAAAGTAATACGTACTCTAATACTCATTCGAAGTAAACAAGTTCCTTATTTTGCACTCATTATTTCTACGAGTCACATCATTCCATAAATACTGATAGACTTTTCGGGCATCCAGCTCAGGGAGACAGTTTTTTCGCATGGCGGTCTTCAGCGCCACCCTGATGACTTGCTGCAACACTCACGCACGCGTCGAAACTTTCCTTCCGTCTTTCCCCCTGTGCTTTGCTTAGGCAAAAGCCTCCGCAGGGTGTGTTGAGCGCGGCGGGAGTGTGGAGAGTCGGTTATGCAAATCGCTTTAACCATCCAGAACAACCGAGAGACGGTGGGTGTAGGCCCTTTTGAACCCTTCGCGCGCGATGCTCGTTTCGCCGCATGCGGCGCCGCTGGCGAAGCTAACAAGTCGCATTTTCAATCAACGGGGAAAATTCTTAGTTTTAAGCATGTAATATACCTGTGCCAACACCTATCATCATGTTGGACACGAAAGATGTACAAAAATGAAGAGTATCAACTCGTTATGGCAGTGGACATGTTGACCAATCAGAGGCGCGCCGTTACAGCGAGCGGTTCAAAAGGGCCGTTTCCCAGAGACGGTCCTTCTGCACGGGCGGCTCCAACGGGGTGGAGAATTAGGTCACCGGCTTCCACCCATGTGGACAGCCAGCATAAGCCAATAATGATGGTGTGTTTCGCGCACGGTGGTCCTGTGTGGAAAGCATTATGGTCGCGTGGATCGCTCAGCACTCAAATAGTCATAAGAGTGCTTTTTTCTTCGACCAGATTCGATTGTGTATGTGTAAGACAGTCGCCGCAGGTGACTGTGAATAGTCCTAGAACACAAATTCTTTCCTGCAAGAACAGTTTACTGTCATCTATACCTCAATTCAGCTCGATAAATCCGACTTTTTTTGCGTGCGGTGCTGGCCACTGGTTATCGAAAGCTAGCTTAGGTTTGGCATAACTGTATTTGTATCAGCTGCTGGTTGACTAAATCGGACGTTTTTACTTTCGTTGCACTGAAACAAAAGGTCGAAAATTTCATAAAATTTGTGATGAAGGTTGGTGAAAACTGTAAATCCACTTTCATCTAATCAAGATTCTTTAATGCATATCCCTCAAAAGCAATTGCTTCAGTAAAGATATGCCGCGTGAAAGCCTGTCCGCGGGTGGGGGACTATGTCGCCGAATTTGGAAGAGTCCCGCGCGGATTCCCTGCAGGAACGCATGTCCGCGCATGTACAAGAGTGCATATTTGTCGCAAATGACCGCGGAGACCGCCCTTTTTCGGCGACATATAGTCCTCTACCCCCTATCCGCTTTTTTGAATTTAAGAGGGCCCTCGCACATTTTGTTTCTAAAATCTAATTTTAGTGAGAAATTTTGCAGCTTTCTTGCTGATACAAAGTAACGGGTTCTCCTCTATCTTCAATTTAACGCGCATATGGACAATTGTTCGTCTAGCACTGATCAATTTCCCGAAAGCTCAGCCCTTGGTACAACTTTTTCAAATGCCATCTACAAAGAGAAGAAGCTAAAACGTGGCTGCAGGACTTACAATAAAGAAAACCGCAGTCTTGTGGATTCTTCAGCGTGGCGCACACATAATTTCTCATGGAAACGTGACTACCACTCTCTCTTTCAGACCAATGAAAATCAAAAAAAAAATTCAAAGACTAGAGATCGAATGCAGTTATGCGTTGATGTTGATGTTGAGTACTTTTTGAGAGCAAGAAGTTGGATTTTTCAGAGCTGACGAGGCTAAGCGTCTTCAAGTCGAGGATACCTATACTCCCACATCAGCTAGGGCAGGAATTCCCACTCGAAGTAGATTTGAGCCCGTATGCACGTACATTCCCACTGAGGAGGGGAGAAGATGCGTCATATTTCGCTTTTCTAAATTTTTTTATTCTTCTTTTTCCATCTATGTTATAAAGGTTATTATACCCCGATACTTGAGTCTCCCGAGCCACTGCTTTGAGGGTAAGGTTTACCCTCAGAATTCGTTGGTGTTTACGGCCACTGCTCTCTCCCCAAAAGTTAGTAGGCAATTTTGTCAATACATCCGTTCCTCCATATATAATTGCTTAGTTGAATAATCAAAAGCACCTTTCGCTACAAGCAGAGAGCATGAGATAGAGTCCACTGAGCCTTTGCACTGATATCTACTTCGTACACGGTCTAAACAAGCTTAGTCCTTTTCCATTCTTAACGCGTTATCTGGAAACTAGATTTGAGCTGATAATGGGTGTTTTGTTTTGTTTGTTACTTTCATATTCGAAATGTTTTGGTTCTTTGGTGATGTGGCACGTCTTGTGCATATTAAACAAGTAGTTAAATAAATTAAATGTAAGTATCTAATGAACAGCCTTTACGCATCCATAATCTGTAATAATTTTAATACGACTGATCTATTAGAGGGTGCCTCAAAACTTGCCCTGGAAATGGGGCGATCATCAATAAAAACACCTATCTGGATTTGCAGATCTAGCTTAACATCATTACAGGGACAAGCTGCCGATGGAAGCTGCCAGAATGCAAACTTTTGACTGAAATGCCTTAATAGGCAAATCCCACTCCTCGGACTTAGCAAACATTTTCTGGGTTGAGCTAGAAATTGATATCTAATCAACACTTTGTTCATCCTCTTCATAACAAAAGTAATTTAGATCTTAAGGATTTTGACTCTAAATTTTTCTTCTTTTCCTGTTAAAAGTGAGTGTATGCCAATGATGTTTCATACACACTGAGTCTTCGTTTGTATGTTACACTTCAATATACATCACTTTCGCAAGCATGATAGAATAAAACTTCTGCAAAACTGAGATAACCTACCGATTCTTTTTGAATTGTTCGTATTAATGAAACAAGACATTTATACAGACAAATATTTATAACAATTTTTTCCAGACCTTCCTGCTTCGCACTATCATCCGTCTTTCTTGTTCTTTTGCTCTCTATACTCAGTCATGCACATCAAAATTTTGAATTTTATTGTGCAAACAATATTTGAGCTCTTCAGATAGTACTAGATACTCAATCATGCCATTCATTCCTCTGTCGAAGTGTAGCCAGTTCCTACCAGCTGTAACATCTTCGCTGGTATGTGATACAAATAGTTGAACATTGCAAATGTTACATCCACGCAACAGCTGTCTCTATACACCTGAACAGATGTACTCATTTTCAAAATTCCCATTTTTTAACTCTTTTGTTCCTGCTATTCATATCTTCTTTATTTGTACCGTAGGTATCAAAAGGCCCTTTAGGGCTGCAAATAAAGTCACAAACCTTCTTAACATCACCGACGGCAAAAGTTGCATTTCTCGGAAGTTCAAAAATTGTTCTGTAGTTATTTTCAAATGAATCGGATGTCGTCCCGCATAAGCCGCATATTTTGACTTCGTCTCAAAACACAGAATTAAAAAATTATTCCTCATGTACGATAGCAGCAATCTCTTACTAGTTCTTGGAATGAAGCATAGTGGTTCCTTGGAGTCTTCGGTCGTACCATCAAAATGCCACCCACACTTTGACAATGCTCGGTGGAAATTGTGATCTCTGACAGCAATACAGTGTGGTAGAGAAGAAAAGTATATTTTAAAGCTGCTCACTTCCAGACGACTTTGTCTCCTCGAAAAAATGGTGGTCCACGCTGTTCCTCGCAATCGATAAAATCAGTCATCGATTTTAGGTTGAAGTACTATAAGGAGATATAATACAGCAAGTTGATGTAAAGACTGATTATAAATATTGAATAGTGAAAAATTTATCAACACATACAATTCTGGAGTATTCAAAAAGAAAATAAGGTAAGGTCTCAAGGTAAGGAAACGTAAGAACCTTGAAATTCAAACAAGTTTGGTGTGATTTTCATTCTAAACATATTTTAAAAATAAGACTATCATTCAATTGTGGCCAAAAGTTAGCATTTCTGCCTTATCAAGCCCCTTTTAGGGTTATTTATTGTTACAAATAAGGTACCTGTGCTTCCCTTCGCAATTCATCTATCTCCTTTATATCGTCTGGGAGGGGAATCCGACCATCACGAAGGAAATTCAATACAGAAGAGAAATATCGTGGATCGTGATCGATGAAAATCGATTCGTCGTCATTTTCGCTAATATTTTCGACAAGCCTGAAAGTGAGCATTGTCGCAGAAATTTCATCTATTCTTTTTTCATGAATAATGTCTTTAGATTTCCGTTTGAAACATACTTTGCAAGCAGTGAACCGTTTACACGAGTCAGAGTGCCAACAGTTGTTTCGAAAATCTGACCGCCAACATTCAGCTTTACTCGCCTGTTCAAATTCGACATCTAAAACAACTACTGTTTTCAAAATCATGATCTTGAAGAAATTAGCGGATTGGAATCTATAAAGCTGAAACAACAAATAAAAACGTGGTGAACCTGATATTCTTCTCCACTCGTCAATAATGAATGTAGTAAACATGAACTGAAAATGTACGAAACAGATGTATTGTCTGCACAATGAGATTATATCACTTGCAACCAACGTTAAATAGTTCAGTCAGCTAATGAGAGCTTTTTTGAGCGTGAAATTCTTCTTGCATAGTCTGACGTACGCATATGAAAAACTAAAAGGAGGTAATGCTACAGCGACAATTTTCAGGAAAGCAGTATCCTTGTTTTTACAAAGTGATTAAAGGGCTAGAATCGTATAGAAATAGAAAACAAAAACTTCTTGAGGCTATTAGTTTGCATCCCAATTTTTTTTGAAGACTTAGGTAAAGTGATTTTTACGTTAATGATTTACATCACTCGGACTGAAAGAGACAATTGCTTGTAGATCGATCATGTTCTGTGGCTGCGTCTGCTTATAAACGTATTTGCGCGCTTTCTCCGAATTCATGTCCCATCCCCTCTATTAGGTTGAACCGAAAGTTCTTTCGCACCAAATTCAAAACTTCATAACTTCTATTTTTTCAACCAATTTGACTGCTTTTATTCTTTATGAAAGCGTAAGTCATGCTCTTTCTAATGACATCTTAGCTGCCTGCTAATGGTCATCTGTTGCATAGATAGGTGCGATAGAAGAAAATTGGTCAAAGTTTGAATTTTCAGTGTAGGGTCATAAAAAATCGGAGACTTGCAACAAAAATCGGAGCAGTCGGTATTGTAGGTTTTCACCAGCTCTTTCTAACAGTGCAAAGTTTGCGCCAGTTGAGCGCCTCTATGGAAAGTTATGATTTTCGAGCAAGCAATAGAAAAGGGCGAATTTGATTTATTTTGGCATTTTTCAGGAAATCATAACTTTTCATAGAGACGCTCAATCGGCGCAAACTTTGCGCCGTTAGAAAGAGCTGGTGAAAGAACCTACATTACTGACTGCTCCGATTTTTGTTGCAAGTTTCCGATTTTTTATGACCTTACACAGAAAATTCAAACATTGACGAATTTTCTTCTATCGCTCCTATCTATGCAACAGATGACCATTAGCAAGCAGCTACGATGTCATTAGAAAGAGCATGGCTTACGCTTTCATACAAAAATAGAAGCAGTCAAATCGGTTGGAAGAAATAGAAGTTATGAATTCTTGAATTTGGTGCGAAAGAACTTTCGGTTCAAACTAATATATCTTCTTTGCTTTTTATCCACAAAGCGGCATCTAGTTAATCCTTGATCTATCCGTGTCTAGCCTTTATCATTGCTCCAAGAGAACCGCGGACACGGAAACTTCGCATTCAATCCAAGCTTTGTTTATTTGAATTGGCTATGAAAATCGAATAGGATGACTGCGGGGGGGGGGGGGTACAAATAAGTGTATGTACATAATCAAAGAATTTTGTGGTAACGAACCGATAAAAATTTTTGAACATTGTCATCTTAGCATCAATCATAACATTTTTACAGGACGATGAGGATCAATCTACCCGTCCTGTTAACATTCCTTCTTGTCTCACGTACAGAGCTTCCGCAGCTTGTTTCTTACTCAACTCAAATCTTCTCGCTTCTTATTTGCAATAATTCACCCGACAAGGTTTGATGAGCAGACTTACACTATCGTGTTTTAGTCTATGGACTTTTTTCGAAGCTATTTTTTGAAACTTTGAGAAACCCTGAAGAAATTTTTGATTTATTTCCCATACATTAAGACTTCTTGCTGGAGTCTCGTTCATCGGTTTCATATCCTATGCGGCCTCTGTTGCAATGGGATTGAACTATTTTCCTCCTTAAGTGTATTGTTTCAAAGCTGGGAATCTTCTTGAATTTTGTCAGATCGAGAACTCAAAACTAGTGGGGAAGGTAGGAAGTTTCACTAGCATATTGAACTCCCAACATGGTGCAAAAGTGAAGAAAGTTTACCAAAACATGGGTACAATTGTTACACAAACTATTTAACTGCTTGTATTAGGTTGTAAGAGAATTAATGTAGGTTTTTCGCACACCTTTTTCAAAATACTGGTCTAGAACGGAAAAGTGTTTTCTCAGAGAGTTTTGCATATCATTTGAAAGCTCTTTTCTTCTAATTTCTTATGCATTCTTTCGTTTCAGTGAAAGTGAATTTGTCTAGGAGTTCTAGGCCCATGAATTTAAGAGATCAAATCTTGAAATTCTTCCTTTCAATATATCTGACTCTAAAACCGCCAAAAACAATCGAAATTCGCTGCAAACTTACACAATATTTTTGAGTGAGCTATTTTACAAAATGCATGTTGAATCATGAATTCTGAAAATACCTGAGCCGAGAAAATTCAGAGCAAAATTCAACGGTCGCTGTGATCCGTCTGCCCTACATAAAAATCCTCAGCGCGAAGCGACTGCGGAGCTTCCGCTTTATATAGAAAGAATAGATTTTAAACATTTATGACTGAAAAAATCGGGAGCCGTTTCCCCTATTCAGCTTTGAAAAAATTCGAAAGTTTCAAAAAAGCGATTTTTCAAATTCTCAGAAAAGTCGAAAAAATGAGTACTTTCAGAATTTTTTTTCAAACTAGCTCCTTTCGCAAAGAATTCTTTTTCATTTCCGGATTTAGCGCTGCTGCACAACCGACCATAGGCTACATAATGAGTTATATTTGAGCTGCCTTACTACATTTGATAGTAAGTTATGGTTTCTCAAAGTAAAGGTTTTCCGAAAAAATTCTTGGCAGAATTCTAGCTATAAGATTTTTCTCAGCGAAACTACAACAACATAATAATGTATACTGAGTTGGAAAAGGTTTGCTGATTACAACAACTCCTGTTGCACACGAAAAGACTATTCGTGTAAAAAGTTATAATGATCCAAACACAAAATTCGGAAAACCTGCATTAATTTTGTTACAACCTAATAATTTCATTGTGTACATGAACAACTCCTCCCTTACTATGTATTTAATGAGTTCCTTAGTATAGTAAGAGTTCAGCACAAATCCATTAGGCCAACAAGGATAATAGGTATTCAAATACTGATATAGTAGAGAGGTATTTTCAGATTTTAATACTTCCAGCATTGAATGTGTGTCAAAAATAAAATGTTCTTTATCTTCAAAGCTCCCGATAACTCCAGCCCACCTGTCAAGATATGTAAAATTTTGTACTTTTTGTGTGATAACTTATGCGCAGCTACTATTTTCAATAAATTATGGTGTCAGTATAACAAAACCCTTGAAAAAGTTTTATTCTTATGCACAAATATATGCAAGGAACATGGCAAGCATCAGACAGAGAGTACGACAAATATATGGAATCTCTCAAATAGCTTATACTGAACAACAGAAAGAATATCGACCCGAATTTTCTGTCAAAGTAAAAACATCGCGTAAAATGCGATTATATACACTTCCTCTATACTGAACTCGTATTCGGACAAAAACCAAATATCAAGAAAAAAATATAAGAAAATTACTGAGCGAATTATTAGACTAGATTTTTGAACCGTTATGAAGATCTTAGCAGAGATCTTTAGGTATGACTGCAATGATGTCATTGTTAAATCCAACGAAGCTGCTATTGACGAGCTGATGCAGCTTTTGGCGGATAACTCTCAGGCGATAGATGTAATTTTGACATAGGCTCGAGCAAACCGTTCGCATCATGCCTAAAAAAGCTCTAAGTGAAATATCTTGAGAAATACAACTAAAATTGAAAAAAAAAATGCAACATATAAGAGAAATTGAAAAAAAAAACGAAAAATGGCGCACCTAGTCTCTCCATTTTGTTGCACGCTTGGAGGCGGGACATAGGTGGGGTCCTTGACGGAATTTGATTTTCGTCGATCTCGTATCGAGGTGTTTGTGGTGCTTCTACAACAGTAACCATCAGGGAACAAAACCATGACAATAGGAAAGAACTTTTCAAACATAAGTAATCAAGGCAGGTTACCGCGCTACCGTGATTACAAAAGCCAGAGTTAGACGGCAGAGTCGTGCAGCTGCTCTGCGTCTCTAACACACAAAATCTACAGTACCTGAACGGATTTCCAAAACGTTTCCGATGTCCCATCGCCTTGACGAGAATTAACGTGTCCAGTCGTGGAATGACCCGTACACAGTTCTCGATTTCCTCTTCCGTTACCGTAACCAGCTGACAATTTTCCTCCTCCGATGGCATGGGAATAGTTCCCCGCCGGGTAACCCATGCGTGAACCTATAATACCCATGGAATCTCGGCCGAGTTTAGCGACTGATATTAGTAAGCTTACTTTGATTTCTTGTAACAACAATCGATGCCCAGGATCTTTCTTCAACATTCCAAGGATCAGATCTTTCAGCGGATCACTCAAGTGCGGCCTGGGAAAAGGTTGTAAAAACCTATCAGAGTCCCTCAAATCAGCTGATTTATGAAAATCAGCTCACAGAAAAGTTTAAAATGAAATCTTAGAGGAGATAGAAGGAACGAAACTTACTCGTTTGGGAAGACTATCGGATCGTTTTTGATTTTCCGATGCAACGCGATCACATATGCATCCCAGAAAGGCACCTGAAAACTATTATTTATCATTATTGAAACGGGATATTGCCGTCGAGGATGCTTATCTAGAATTTGGTAGATTTTGGGTGTTGGACGACGCGTTAGGGAAGCGATCAGTCATACCTTCGCACGTACTACGGAAAATTTCTAATTGAAAGTCTATTCAATGAACACGCTGCTGTCGGAAAACTTTGAAAAGTTACTCCAGAAAAACGTTTAAATTTTCAGCGAAACAAATTTGAAAATCTTTTTGGAACTTCGGACCTGGGGAATCAAAGTCCCGAAAGTTTTGGAAGTCAGAATCTAAATGTTATTCATATAAGAATTTGAGGACAGAAAAACGAGAATACAAATTGCTGACACGTGTTGAAAAAAATTGATGGAAACTTTACTTTGCCATAGGCTTTTCACGTAAAAAATTGTAAGCATGCAAAAAATCAAAAGTAGCAAAACAGGAACAAAGTGTACTAATAAATAATTCAAAAACTCACCTTCCCTATCACAAATGCGTAAAGAGTTATTCCTAGCGACCAGATATCTTGAGCTCTACCAGAGTAAAAATGATTGGAACCTTCTGAAATAAGCAACTGTCATGCCCAAATACAATTACCGCCTATATATACCTGTTAGCGCTTCAGGGGCCATAAATGCTGGAGTTCCGGCAGTTCCTGACAAAAATGCGTCAATACCCTCGAATTCGCACGAGACACCGAAATCGGCTATCTGAAAATTTTCCATGGTTTCTGGGGTGAGACTAAAACTTTCTTAGAGGTTGCATGAATTAATCTTTAGTGTAAGTGATTTGTTTGAGGATTTGCAGCTCCCGCGAACATACAGTGCTGGACATAATTATAAAGCCACTCTTGGTGCAAAAGTTCTGTCAGTTTTTTCAATTGGCATTCCATTGGCAAGCACGCTAGAATGAAGATAAACAAAACTTCAAAAAGTATCCGATGCAGAATTCCTTCCTCTTTCCAGCTGCTAAACTCCCTTTGTGTTTCGTTGAGAAAATAACGAGATATTCGCCAAAAATTACAATCACTCGTTTTTACCATGTCCAAATTTCATTTTTAAAATTTTTGTGTGAGTCTCCAGATAGGGCAAACCTTTTGCCAACAAGAGCAATTTTTTCCTTTTTTTAGTTGCTTTTTCAGGATTTTGCTAAGTAATTTTCTGAAAGTCTTGTGTTTTGAAAAATCGCACAATCTTTCGTTGTACCAAACACTGCAAAACCTACAGAATACTGAGGATTCAACACACAATTATTACTACCGCTACCATTACAAAGTAAATGAGTGATTTTCGCTTCAAATGATGAAGATTTTGAAACATAGGTTACGTCAGTGCGCACTCATGAAATTGAGAAATACTGCGATTTTTCTCATAAATTTCGTAGAAATTTTAAAAGACAAGGCGTAGGGCTACAACAAATTGCTTCTGTTGGCAAAAGAATTGCCCTACCTGGAGGTTATTAGGGCTCTTCCGAAAGTCTCATACAAAGATTTTGAAAATTAGTGAAAGTTGGACATGGTAAAAACGAGTGATTGTAATTTCCGGCAAATATCTCGCCATTTTCTCAACGAAACAGAAAGTGGGTTTAGCAGCTGGAAAGAGGAAGAAATTCTGCATCGGATACTTCTTGAAGTGTTTGTTTATCTTCATTCTAGCGTGCTTGCCAATGGATTGAAAAAACCGACAAAACTTTTGCACCAAGAGTGGCTTTATAATTATGTCCAGCACTGCATTTGTTCCGCCTCAGCCGCGCCTCTTTTTGTATCCCTCGCTTTCCTTGATTCATTCAATAAAAAGTGAGAATTTTGAACTCACTTTTACATGGCCAGAATCCGACAACAACAGATTTGAGGGCTTGATGTCACGATGAATAATCTTTTGATAGTGTACTGAAATGACCAGTAAATCCTTTGTATAAGTTCATAGCATATCAATCGAACGCAGCGAGTCAGTAAAATAGTGAGAAGAGATTCACTCACAATATTCTAATCCCCGTAATGTGTCCCTAAAATATTTCCAAGCGCTATCCTCATCCAATGGTTTATCGGTAGGCACATCTAGAATGCTGCCTCGTTCGACAAACTCAAAAACCATGTACAGGTAGTTGTCATTGGGATCGTCCAAGACCTGCAACAGATTGAACTCATAAACAACCAATCAGAAGCTTAGTCCGCGATTGGCCCACGTTTGGTATTGACTTAGAAAAACGTAGAAGTCAAGAGTGGAAGTGTTGCAATACCCGAGGAAGTCGAAAAATCACAATTTGTCATAAGCTGCACTCTCAAAATAATCACATTGAAGTTCTGGCTCCGCCCTCAGTCACGCCCACTTTTTGAAACAAAGTCACGTAGTAATTGATCCGTGCTGTCCCCTTTGTTCTACTTTTTTGCTCTCTATCCTTTTTCCTGTACTATTTTGTTGGTAAACTCACCTCTACTAGTTTTACGACATTCGGATGGCTAAGTTTCTTCAAAATGGCAATTTCTCTTTGCACCAATTGTAAAGGATTTCTATGCGTTAAAGGCGGTGCTTTTGATTTTCGTGCTGGTGGCGGTCCTGTGAAGAATTTTGTAGGATTTACAGATAAATAGCTGGGGATCTGCACTTACGAAAGCAGGCGAAGTTCTTGAGCAGTTTGATCTTATCTAAGACTTTCAAAGCATAGAGATTCTTGTCTTCTTCGTTGTAGGCGAGCTTGACGATACCATATGAGCCCTATAAAGACAATCTAGAAAATGCGGTTGAATTCATCATTTTGAGACGTGCAAGATTAGGAATATATAGAGGAAAAGGATTATTACACCTATTGAGACTAGATGCACCTTGGTGTACCTTTAATCCATGATTTATTTTATAATTTTTTTAGTTTAGTGCTATGCTAGTAGGGTGCGATAATTATTCGGAACATGCAGGGCATTCCCTAATTTCGAGCTCTATTTTAGGGGTGGAACTCACCGCGGAGGCGGACGACGTGGAAAATGGATCCTGAATAGACCTAAGGATGAAATAAAGATTTGTGAGGGTGTAGCCTAAGGGACGGGTGGGACTAAAGGACGAAGGAGAAGCCTTTCCAGTCCTGATGACATCGAACCAAGCCGAAAATCCGTTTTAGACCGTAGGCATACCTCACGCGATTTCAGTCGTCCGGCGATCTGGCAATTTGCCAGATGTCTACAAACTCAATACTGGCAGACCCATATGTACAGCATGTCTAACCGCAGTTTGATAAAATGTCCTATTTTCGTACATTCAGAAACCCCCTACGATGAGTTTTGGACAATTTGGGGTATTGCCAAACCGCGTAGCGACCAAAATCGCGTGAGGTATGCCCAGGGCCTTAGGGAAACAAATGAAAATAACCGACTTCTCAGCACTTTCAAACTGCTTAGTCTTGGTAAGAATTACGGTAGAAATGCAGTAATTTCTCACCTGTCCGATCTCTTCCATCAATCGATACTGATTTAACTGAATATAGCTTTCACTCCTTTGCGATGACACCTTTCGAATATGCCGCGTAGGCCGTTGCAGAATCGGTGACATGGACGAAGTCAGCTGAAAAAAATTACCATAATTCACATAATTAGTTTCAAAAAACCATTGTGGATTTGCAAAACGGTAGAGGTCAAACTCATTCCAATTTTTATTTTCAGCAATCAGCATCTATCGAAGAACGAGGAAGTTATCGTTAGTAGTGATCAGCTGACTAGTAAGAAAATCTACTTTTCCTTAGGTATGCAAGATGTAAGCGACACACGCGATCTCTCGTGTGTAGCTAACGTTTGCCGAAATATGATTTTTGCGGTTCCGTGAAGTATATAGATAGAGTTTTAAAAAAAATTTGTATCATTTTCGAAAAAAAGATTGATGGAACGGCATTATTTAAAATTTACTGAGATTTTTTATCCTAACGATAGATTTCTGCAAATACATAGTTGTAACAGCAAACACTAGGAGGTTAAGCGGGGGGGGGGGGGATGAGTACGAGCAAATAATTGGCTAGAGCTTGTTAGTATCTAAAATGACTTTGAATTTGAGAAAAACTTGCTTATGGACGGGCAAAAAAAATTCGCGAAAAGGAGCGGAATCCGCCACTCTTATACAGTACTTCTATAATACTTTTACCTCAACGTTATTATCCTGTCTCTTGTTAGTGTTTGAGAGATACTGTAGAATCACAACTCAGACTACTGGCCGGAACTTCCGCAGAACGTTTGAGAAAGTCCCTGGCGGAACTTTTCCACATGCGGAAGTTCCGTAAACGTGCTGCGGAAGTTTTCAAATGAGGTGCTGCGGAAGTTCCGAAGAGTGAAGCCAACAGCAAAATAGAACACCTAAGCAAAATGAACCCTTTTCTATTGACTGCGAGACTACTCACTATCCTCTGCACTAAGGAAGACATGTTCAACAATACGCTCTAGTTGCTGGCGCGACAACGTCGTAAAAGACAACACATTCAAAGCCCTGCGGAAGTACTGGCAGGTCAAAATGCTGCGGAACCGCTGGCATTTTTCGGAATTTCCGCAGCGCTTTGTAAAAAGTCCTGCGAAAGTTCCACTTTTCAACCAGTCTAACGAGAAAATCCTGCGGAGAACCCATTTTCAAGGTTTCCGCTTTCAAATAGTAAACGAATTCTGCGGAACCGCTGCAAACTTGGCTTGTCCTGCGAAAGTTCCGGTGAATTGTCTGAGGTATAATTACAGTGATCGGGACAATTGAAAATGCAATTATATCAGTCTTGAGCTATCTCAAAGAAACAAAAATCAATTAATAAGAAAGCAGGTAAGAAAAAGCAAAAATGAACTTTGATCATGAAATCTGGACTTTTGAGGGTAGGTATCGTGTCTACTGTATGTGATCGCTAATAATGTACGTCAAACTAAGTAGGATAAGGGAAATTTTGAGTTAATGTTCAGGTGCTGGACTATCAAGTGTGAAATGGATAGCTCTGGAAAACTGCAAATCTTCAAAGTTTCCTTGATAAAATGCCGGCAGTAACCAGCTTAAAGCTCTACAATTTACGGTTTATTCCTTGACAAGCTACGTGCGAAAAACCTTTTTGGATAATGCTGCTGATTAGAAAAGACGTCATTTTGCTAATAAAGTTATTCAATAAATATATCACAAGTGAAAAGACCTGCCACGTGCTCATAATATCATAATAAAGTACATATTCTGTGCATCAAGTAAATTGTAGCGACTTATGTGCTGTCGAGGGTAAAAAAAAGCCGATGATGTTCTAGACTTATCAAGGCTACATTAGTGAAGGAGATGGGAGGGAGGTAATATCGGCTTATTTGTAAGGCGAGAATTCAAAATAGGAAGATTTTTAGGTAAAGTTAAAACGAAATCCAAAGTACTGAAAACAGCTTCAGAAAAAAACTATCATACAGCTTCAGAAAAATGCTATCATCATGGAAGTTTTTGAAACCATAAATCCTTCCTCTCCTCCTACAAAATTCGTTGTCTACGCATTTGCATGCCTATTTTCCCTCTATAATCCCAGATATACAGAAAAGTACGCTTTGTAGGCAGAAATAAGCCAGACAGGCTCAGATTAGCTAGAGCATGATGTAGTGCCTTGGGTTTCGTAAAGAACTATGGTCTAGGCATGACGGGAGAATTTTGTGAGATTTTTGAGCAGAATCACTTTTTTTCGCCTACGCTGAGAATATTGTTGGTTTGAAGTTACAATCAGATAATCTTGCATACAAAGCCAATGTTACTTCGGTCCAATATTTGTAAACAGTGTCATAAATAATCAAATAAATGATTGAAAGTTGGCATTTACATGTGTAACCTTGGCATGATAATCCCTTAATCAGCATATTTGCAAAGCAAAAACTTTCTCTAAGACTGATACGGGAGTAAAACGAAAAATTGCGGAAAAAGGCAGTCACGCAAACTGCATCTTTTATTTATTTATTTGTTTTCTTAAAACGTAGACATGCTTAATAATAGTGTTTATGAGAACATTTGAACTCAATCAAAAAGAATGTAGAAATTGTTGTCCCCATATAGTTCAAGAAGAATTTTTTAAAAGATATTGAATGTCGATTGTTTTTGTGAATTTGCTTGATCTTGATAAAAAGATCTTGCTCTCATTGATTATATCATGGACTACAAGTGATAGAATAGTCGAAAGCAATTTGCTCAGAATGATTTTGGTAAACTTCAGAGGTAAAGTTTAACGACGTGATATTCGTTCAACCAAGAAATGAATGGTAATGGAGATGACGCGTGGCCCACAGAATTTCAAGAACATCTTAATGTCATTTTCACCATATGTTGAACGCACAACATATGTTCAAAATGAGAATAAAAAGAGAAATCAGCTACGCATTCATAATAAGCGGAAAGCAAAGCATTTCTGCAAAATCATAGAATCAAGAGGAGGCGGAGGGCAAAAACAATTGAGAAAGGCCATAGATACATACAGGTTGTCCCAAAAAAATGTATCGAACGTTTGATCGTTAATATCTCTCTTCTGAAGAAGTCTTTTGCCTTGCTTCAAGTATCTTTTTGTAGAGCTGTCTTCAACTTAGATTTGCATTATAGAACGAATCACCCATCTCTCTTCATTACTGTAGGATTACGTAGAAACTTGAAACATATGGTGTCAATGTGGAAAAAGCTGCCGTTTCCAAATTTTTATAAAAATGTGAAAACTTGTGTAATAGGGTTTATATGGACGCTGAGTTCAATACTCAACTATTCACAAGATTACGAAGCTTTCTAAACGGTGTAACCGCACTTTTTAGGAACATTGAAAAAATGGCCGCTACCTCTTACCTGGCATAACTCTTCAATGAAGTATCATAATAAGTTGGGAACTTTACAGTCATAATCAGCAACTCTAATTAGCCTGGTGTAAAATTTTGAGGCTGTTTTGTTTCTTTCCTGCGGCAAAATATGGCCTTTCATTGCTTAAAACCCTCTTTGAAGTTTCTACCGTAATCCTACAGTAATGAAGAGAGATGAGTGATTCTTCTATTATGCAAATCTAAGTTGAAGCTAGCTCTACAGATTGGTACCTGAAGCAAGGAAAAAGACTTCTTCAGAAGAGAGATATTAACGATCAAACGTTCGATACATTTTTTTGGGACACCCTGTATTTGCAAGGCCTGATTATCAGAGACAAAATCGAAATCTACACTCTCCAAAGTTCTTTTCTTCAAGTTGTTTGTCACATGGTCTAAAGCTCAAGTTAAGTGCGCTTTTTTTCCTCTACATAAGGTATCGGAAAACAATTTAAAAAATAAAGTCTTGAATTGTGAAAATAATCAGATTAAGGAGGTAAATACATTTTCCCCTTCACGTGCACAAATAAAAAATAAGCATTCAATTGACTATGCCATATGAATGCCATTTGGCCAAGATACCTGAACTTTTGTAAGTTAATGAAAAAGCTTTTTAACCTTGGATGTGGAGCACAAGGTTAAAAAGAAGAAAACAGATAATCATCAAAATCATATGCGAAAACGATTACAACGCATGGTAAACAGATACCGAACTGTTGGCGTTAGCATCATGAAGACATAGTTTGTCATTACTGCAAAATCGGACCGAAAGAACTAACGCGGACTTCAGCCAGACCGAAATCTAATGCTTGCAGCGAAACAGGAAAATGTTCGCATTAAATGGGTGATTTCGAAAATCAGTCTTTGGTTTAAAAAATGCCAGAAAAAGCGCAATTGTTATGCATTCTATATAAAGAAAAAGTTGTAGATATTTGCACACTTGAACTCTAGAAACATTGTACATTTGCCCAACAAAAGCAATTATATGTACGACCCAGCGAGAAATTGCTAAAATCAAGAGATCAAGGTGGTTCGAACTTGTGGGCAGTTTTCGTAAATCCATAAATTCGTGTGAATAAAAGGCTTACTTGAAACGAAGTGAAAAAAAAAGTTGGACTACATACAAAAGTCTCGTGGTGGTATCAGAGTTTCTTGCTTTCAAGGATATTTTTATGAGTTACAAGCATAAAAAACCAATTTTTCTGCTGTACAATAATTCAACGCACAACTAACTATATTGGTAAGTGTGCGATAAAGTGCAGGGCTTCTTAATCCCTTGCGGGATAAATCCATGGCGGGAATTGCGTCCAGGAAAACTCCACAGCAAAGTTTTGTACGATAATCGATAAATGAAAGTTTTTTTCTGATTTTAAAATAATTACTTTCAATAAAAATGATGTGATGATACTCAGAATGAAAATTTATAAGCTTTGCTATCCCAAAGGTTCAACAGTTTTGGCAAAAATGCATATGTTTCAGGAATTTTTAACATATTCTGTAAGATTTCCATTGTATAGGCTGTTGAATATTTGAAGAAAGGGCAGAACATAGAGCGTTGAATATCATCTCGAGATCGTGGACCTGTAGCTTGGTGCACATTTGACTAAGGCTGATACATAGGTTTCGCAAGAAAAAGATAAAATTTTTTTTGAATGTTTGTAAATCTGCAATATATTCTTTGTTATTGATGATAAGTGGGGTAATGTCGGGTAAAAGAGATTTGGTTTGAAACAAATCAATAACCGACGTATAAAA